AGATGATCAGTGAGACCTGATGATGATGATGATGATGATGATGATGATGATGATGATGATGATGATGATGATGATGATGATGATGATGCTGATGGTGGTAATAGTGCTGATGCTGATGATGCGTATGGTGACGACGACGATGACAATGACGATGCTGATGATGATACGTTGGATGATGGTGATGCTGATGATGATGCTGATGCCAACGACGATGATGATACTGACAATGATGTTGACAATGCTTATGCTGATGCTGACGATGATGACGATTATGACGACAATGCTGATAGTTATACTGCTGCTGCTGCTGCCTGTGGTGATGATGATGGTGGTGCTGATGACGATGACGACGATTATGCTGATGATGCTGCTGCTGCTGATGATGATGATGATGATGATGATGGTGGTGGTGGTGATGATGGTGATTGTGATGATAATGACGATGGGGATCGATCTCGCAGAGAGGGCGTCCAGGAGATCAACGCCACAATATTGAGGCCGTCTGGAGGCCTCTGGAGATCTTCGGGGACCCCTTGGGGCATCGGGGCACCTGCAGAGGAGGGGCAAGATCAGACAGCATCGAATCGGGGAATCGGATCAGCTTGGAACCTGCGCCGGATGGGCCTACTTCGGCACGGAGCCGAGATCAAATTGGATCGGCCGCGCCAGGATGCACAACGACGCCGTGCAATCGTGAGGCCGCATCGGATCGCCGGAACATCTGAATCGGAATCGGGGCCGGCCGGAGTCGATATCGAATCGGATCGATCGGATCGGAGCAGACCAAGAGGGGGAGCGAGGGTGGAGGTTGCCTGGGTTAGGTCGGGCGTGTCCTCCCAGAAGCGTGTTTGGGACGAAGAAGATAACATAGTAAGACAATGCTCAAGCATGATCTAAAAGTAATAGAAACATCGTCCCCAGAGTTTTTGGACCATTTTGAATCTTCCTCCTGTAGAGGGACATGCCCGACTTAAGCCGAGAGGGGGAGCGCGGGTGGAAGTTACTTGGGGCCTCCGTTGGCCTGCTCGGAGCGTCCTCCTCGCCCCCAGCCGGGACTTCCGCCGCGAGGCAGGATCTGGCCAAGGAGCGCACCACGATAGGAGCAGGCCTGGGAGGACGGGGAGGGAGGAGAGGGATACAGTGGAGGCTGGCCAGTCCACAAGAAACCCTCCACGAGAAAGCCAAGCAAACGACCCCAGGACATCGACTGATTTCTGGGATGGGAGCGTCACGCTTTCCATAGCAAAACCGTCGAATCCCGTGAAGCACAGGGAAGCCTCGAGGCAAGCGGGGGTTTTCTCGGCATGGGTCTCCACCGTAGGAGGTGGCCTGGAGGAGAGAGAGGACGGGGAAGGAGGAGAGGGATCGAGACGAAGGCGGAGAGGAGAGGATCAACATTGGATCGGGCGACGCGGGGGAGAGAAAGGACGGGGGAGGAGGAGGAGGAGGAGGAGGATCAACACTGGATCGGGCGACGTGGGGGGGGGGGATCTCTGAGATCGGGGGGCTTCGGGGGGACGTGCCGGGCGCCGCGGCCGTTCCAGAGCGTTCCAGGACGCCCATCCTCCTCCTCCTCTTCCTCCTCTTCGTCCTCCTCCTCCTCCAATCTCCTTCTCCTCCTCCTCCTCCTCCAATCTCCTCCTGCTCGTCTAATCACCTGCTGCTCCTCCTCCTCCTCCTCCTCCTCCTCCTCCTCCTCCTCCTCCTCCTCATTGCCCAGGGTCGCTCTGGAACGATTGATTCCCATCCTGGGCCTGTGCGATGGGAGGAGGAGGGAGGGGAGGGGGGGTCGATGCGTGCGGAAAGAGCGCGCTCGGAACAAGCGATAGCACATGGGGACATCGGGACACGAGGGCAGATGCAAATGGGGGTTCGAGGTTCGATGATCCATTTCTTTTGGGCGTGCTCGAGCATTTTTGGGCATCCCAGGGACGCCCTCATCACCATGGCTGGGTTGCCTTTTTGAAGCTCTGGCCATCGCGCATCCCGTGAAAGGTCCGTGGAGGGGGAGAGGGGAGTGGATGGAGACGAGGCAGAGGCGGAGGAGATGAAAAGGAAAAGAAGGACCGCGTAACAATGTGGACGAGGATGCAGATGAGGAGGGAACGGAGGAGGAGGACGAGGAGGAGGTGGAGGAGGAGGTGGAGGAGGAGGTGGAGGAGGAGGACGTGGGGAGGAGGAGGAGGAGGAGGAGGAGGAGGAGGAGGAGGAGGAGGAGGAGGAGGAGGAGGAGGAGGAGGAGGGAGGAGGAAGAGGAGGAGGGAGGACAATGACGAGGACGAGGAGGAGGAGGGAGGAGAATGAGGAGGAGAAGGAGGAGGAGGAGGAGGAGAGGCGTGTAGGCTAAGGAAGGGGAGACCGATGAAGATGATGAGGGAGGGGGAGGGGGGCGGGAGGGGGAGGAGGAGGAGGAGGAGGAGGAGGAGGAGGAAGAGGAGGAGGAGGAGGAGGAGGAGGAGGAGGAGCAGGAGCAGGAGCAGGAGCAGGAGGACGAGGGAGGAGTATGAGGGAGTGGGGATGAGAAGGGAGCATGGGGGAGAAAGAGGAGGTGGGTGAGGAGGAGGAGGGACGGATGAGGATCATGATAATGATGCTGCTTCTGCTGACGATGATGATGCTGATGATGCTGCTGATGATGCTGATGCTGATGCTGATGCTGATGCTGATGCTGATGCTTACGATGGTGATGGTGATACTGATGCTGCTGATGATGCTGCTGCTGATGATGTCATGATGATGATGCGCCGGGTATGATGATGATGGGGGAGTAGGAGAAGGAGGAGGAGGAGGAGGAGGAGGAGCATGCAGGTTGACGACGAGAAAGGAATGGTGATGATCAGGCTGATAATAACAACGACGATGATGAGGATGATGAAGATTATGACGGCTGCGCTGACGCTGACGCTGACGCTGACGATGACGATGATGATGCTGATAACGATGATGATGCTGATGATGATGATTCTGATGATGCTGCTGATGATGATGATGAAGATGCTGATGATGCTGATGATGATGCTGATGATGCTGATGAAGATGATGCTGATGATGCTGACGATGATGCTTATGTTGCTGATGATGCAGATGATGTTGATGATGCTGCTGCTGATGATTATGGTCATGATCATGATGATGATGATGATGATGATGATGATGATGATGATGATGATGATGATGATGATGATGATGATGATGATGATGGTAATGATGATGCAGATGATGATGACGATGATGATGATGATGATGAGGAGGAGGAGGAGGAGGAGGAGGAGGAGGTTGAGAGGCGCCGCGGGCTCGCGCGCCGCGCCAGAGCAGGAGCAACACAACGTCTAAAAGCTCAGAGGCAACGATAGGGGGAGATACATAGGGTCAGAGATTCGAGCGAGTCTCGGAGATCGGGGCTCGCGCCCTGGAGGCTCTTGGCCGTGCTGGGATACTCTTGTGGCCACGGCTGGAGCCGCCTCGCAATTTCGGGCAGAACGCCCCCCAGGAAGGTTCCGCGGTGCAGTCGGGGCGTTGACCTAAGGAACCCTAAATAAGGAACGAGGCCCATTTTTCCATAAGTTAAACTTCGATTTCCGATCGAACACATAAGGAAAACCTGAGGCAAGCTGTGAAAAACTTAAGGAACGTGGAGCCCCTCCCCAACCAAAAGGGTTCCTTCTTCAGGGCCCCGACTGTAGATCTTCGTCTGTGGAACCCTGATCAATTGCCATTGGAGTGTAAGAAGGCACGTTTCGCGAGGCACAGGACACAAGGGTACCCTTGAGCTGGCAGGGCCGACCTCCTAATCTGGGCCGACTGTGCACCTGTAGACGAGGCTTGCGCCCTCTAAGACGCATCCGCCTGCGAGGCGCTCCCCCCCCCCCCCTGCACGCACTCTGCCCGGGGACGCACTGCCCCGGGCCAATCCAAGCCCAAGCCCGGCTCCGTCGGGCCTTGGGCCTTGCAGGCTCCTGCACCCACGACCGGGTCCGTGCTCCCCTGGCTCTGCAGGATCCTGCAAGGCCCGGCGCTCTATGACTGACCCCCGTTTGCATCGGCCCCCGTCCCCATGAGCCCCGACCCGCGTGCGGCGCGCCGGGACCGGGGAGGGGGCTGGCCGCCCCAAACCCAAACACCCCCCCACCTCGACAAGGAGATCTCGGGCGCCTGCCTTTTGGCTGCCGTCGGCCTCTGGGTGGCCCTGCCCTTGTCAGGCCCCAGGGCCGCCGAAAGAACGGCCCAGGATGAGAAGCTGGTCGCGGACGAGGGGGTCCAGGCCTCTGGGGGTCCACGTTGCGAAACAAAATCTGGGCCCGACAATCTGATCCCAGACATCCGTCTGCTCCAATTTTTTCGATGCGTGGGCCCCGGAGGTCCAGACCACTTCTCTAGGACCGGTTTTTCGTCCTGAGCCGTTTTCTGACGGCCCGAGGGCCCGTCGAGGGCCCCCGGAGGCCGAAAACAGCTCCAAAACCGCCAGCTCGAATATTTTTTGGAGTGTCCAGGTTGTTGCGCGTCGGACGAATCGTCCGACCCGCAACAACCTGGACACTCTACACCCGGACATCCAGCATCTCGCAAAACGAATTCGCTCTAGGGGGGCGCCGACCGTATGGGAAGAGTAAAGCTCGAAGCCCTGCAACCTTGCAACGTAACCAAAAAACAATCCCTGCACGACTGTCGGGCAGAAATCGCCTGGGCTGCCGAACCTTCCTGGCACGGATTTGTCCTCGTCCTGGCACGGATTTGTCCTCGTCCTGGCACGGATTTGTCCTCGCGAGATGACCCAAGATGCTCGCAAGATGATCCGCGATGCTCCTCGATGCTCGCGAGATGATCCAAGATGCTCGCAAGATGACCCCGGTGCACAGTTCGGCTCCGTGCGTTTGGGGGGAAAATGATACGATTATTATTACGATTATTATTATTATTATTATTATTATTCGTATTATTATTATTATTATTATTATTATTATGATAATAATTTTAAAACGTTTTTTTCCGCCAGGGAAGAC